AAAAAAAAAACTTTGTTTAGGAAGGTGCGGGGAAGATGGGCTGGGGCCCACTGTTCCAGGGGGCGGGGCAGGGCTGGGCTGGGGTGGCCTGGACCCCAACTCCAGCCCACCCTCAGTTGTCTGCAGGTGGGGCTGCGGCAGTTGGACATGTCCCTGTTGTGCCAGCTGTGGGGCCTGTACGAGTCAATCCAGGACTACAAACACCTGTGTCAAGACCTGAGCTTCTGTCAGGACCTGTCATCCTCCCTCCATTCGGACAGCTCCTACCCACCGGATGCGGGCCTGTCTGACGATGAGGAGCCTCCCGATGCCAGCCTGCCTCCTGACCCACCACCCCTCACTGTGCCCCAGACGCACAATGCCCGTGACCAGTGGCTGCAGGATGCCTTCCACATCAGCCTCTGAAGAGCTGGGGGGCAGGGGGCACGTACCCATGCAAAAGGCTCAGAAACTCCCCCTCCGGCAAGCCCTCAGACTGCGGAGCCTGCGCCTTCCCCCATACCACCTCACCTCACAGGAGGGCCAGGCATGTATTCCTCAGAGGCGAAACTGCCAAACCCTTTCTCCTGTCTTGGGTTGGCTGGCACTGGGGCGGGCACCTAGGGTATAGTCTCTGCCCATGGCACTGGGCCTCCATTTCTTCCACATGTGTGCACCCCCAGCTTGGCCAACCCTCAGCCTTGCAGTGGGGCCCGAAGCATCTTCCCCTCCCCTTGGCATCTCTGGGATTGGGATGAGTGCCTCGCTCCCATCTCCTCCTCACCTTTTGTTGCTATCGGCAGCTGCTGGCTCAGGGGCATCCCACCTCCGGGCTCTGGGTTCCTCTGCCCTGGTAGGGCTTCAGGACCTGTCCCAATACCCACCCATGGCCAGGAGGGCCAAGGCCCCGTGCTGGATATTTAAATTTAGGGGCCGGCCTCCAGGGCGCATAGATAAATAAATACTCTCAGCGTCGTTGTACTCTGCCTGGCTGGCTCTGGGGCGGGAAGACCGCGGCGTTCTGGCAGGTGCGGCCCCGCGCTCTGCCGGCGGGTGGCGCCCGAGACCCCCGAGTGAAGGTCCTGCCGTCCCGCCCGGGCGGGGCTGGGGGCGCTCCCGGCTGGCCGAGCTTGGCTCAGCCGCCCGGGTGACTGCGGTCGAGTCACTTCCCCTCTCTCGCCCGCGACCTCCGAGTCCTCCGCCTCCTCCCAGTTCGCTTCGGGCTTTCCCCGCCGGGAAGGAAGGAGAAGGAGCCGCCCACCTTGAGGAGGGAAACTTTCCACCCCGCGCGGGGCGGGGTTGGGGCGGCGCAGGAAACGGGTGGCCGGAGTCGGCTGAGCAAGGGGCCCCGGCGGGGGCGGGGAAGGCGCCTCCTGGAACGGTTTGGGAGCTCACAACCCGCGGGTGGGAGGGAGGCGCGGCAGAGGCAGAGCGATGTGAAGTTGCGGCACCTCGGGCTTTCCCGGAGGCCAGGCGTGAGAATCCGCGGCGTTGAAGGTTGATGGGGTCCCAGGGACCCGTATTCCCCGCTTAGTCTATGAAGACCGCCGGCTCTCCCCACAGCACTAGCGGTCTTTACAGTTATCTGTTAAAGGTTTCTTCTTAGGAAACCGGGGACCCACACCGCTGGGACTGGGAACCAAACCCAGGTGTCAAGCCCACCGGAAGAAGTCAGCACGTTCGGAGACAGTGGGTACTCAGCCCCGCACACGCGCACACGACACCCCACAACCTCCTGAAAAGAGGCGAAGCCGCACACCGAGGTGTGTGGTGCCTCCTGGAGATGCAGCCCAGCTGGCAGTCCTGGCACTCTGACACCCCGTTAAACCAAGTAGCCGTCACGCACCGGGCTCCTGTTCATTCACACACCTTGCAGAGCAGCGGGAGGGAGCAAACTGACCTGTTGCCCCAGGGCAGCTGACACCTGCAGAGGCTCATTACCATGCAGGGCTGGTGGGTAAGCGATAAAGGCTCTAATCTAGGGGTTCACAGAGCCGCTAACGCCCCAGGCAGGCTTTCCTGGGGAGGGAGAGTAAACATACACACAGAAATGACACATTTTCCCCATCCATGATAGCTCATCCCATTTAGTAAGGCACGGCAAAATCAGCCAGGCTTTCTGCTAAATGCTTTCTGAGGTTCGTGCTCTCAGTGATTCCGTAAAAGGCGGAACTATAATTATCCCCATTTAATAGACATTGAAACTGAGGCTCAGAGTGTTAGCGCTTTGCCCAAGGTCACACTTGGTTGGAAGTCAGTTGTGAATCTGCAGTTACTTGTCGG